CTCTCTCTCTCTCTCTCTCTCTCTCTCTCTCTCCTCTGTTTACATTTCAACATGTATCTATATCATTCCTACAGTGGCTCAAATAATAGGGAGGCCTCACTCTAAAATCTACCTGGAGTGAGGGACTACGATGAGGAAGAATAATTTTTTTTCCTTGTGATTTTACTTTTCTCTCCAAGTTTCTGGAGAAAATTTTTTAAATGCTATCATTGCCCTCTATTCTTCTATTTACATTGCTTCTATTTACCATGAGGTAGACTTTTCATGTGATACTTCCCATCTCATTTCTGTTTTTCTTTATTTCCCTAGTCCTTCCAAGCCTATAGGACCTTTCTTTCTAGAAAATTGTAGCTTGAGGAAAAAAAGTTGTATAATTCTAAATTCAAGTATTTTATAAACGGCAAACTAAATCTTGTTTGTGTAAGAAGTCTAAAAGAGGACATACAATCTATTTAAGGATTAGGGTAGAGGGAATTTTTGCTCTTTCCCATATCTGCAAGCCCACCTCTCTGACTCCCCAGACTGTCTCAAGAAGCTGTTGAATCCCAGTGCTTGGGACAGTTCTATATGACCCTACATCAAAGTCCCTGTCAACTCACTATTTCTGTTTCTCCCCAACTGGGAAGGACTAAGTGCTAACTACTGGAAGGAGAAGAAAAGCAGTCTGGACAAGCAGAATGGGCACTAATATTTATTGTTTTAATGATAACCTCCAAACCAAACTGACCAAAGTAAATGCTATACTACAATCATTCATAGACATGTTTTTCAAGGGAGTATGTGAGAGTGTGTGTGTGTGTGAGTGTGACAGAGAGATAAGGGTGTGAGGCTGAAGTTCCCCACTGTTTCCTTTTACTCGTAAACCAGTGCTGTCCAGAGCCAGATACAGACAGGTGGATTTTAGGGCTAGTGATTATGAGTACCTGGCTACTCTCCAGAAACTAACCCCAAGGTCCAGCTTCTTACATCTGGGGGCTGACCAGTGAATGCCCACACCTGAAAACTCAAGCAAGATTTATTACCACCAGGCTCTGTTTTTTAATTGAAAGAGGCAATTCAGAACACAAAAGCAGAGTAACTTTAGCCCCTACTCGTCTTTCCTAGTAGAAACCTGTTTTAAACTGTCATAAATAGAAGGAGAGTGGGAAACAAGAAGTCACAGAAGATGGAAAAGGGCTTACTGTGGCAAGCTAATTTTGAGGGACTAAGGCTAGTAGATCTACCCACCTTCTGACCTACTTATTCACTTTGCTTGATGTATCAAATTCATCAAAGTTTAAAGCTGTCACAAATGCAAAAAATACAAGGAAAAGGAATGGAAGAAAGGACAGGTACTAGAAGTTAGTTGAGATCAGAAACAAGAGTGGTATGTTAGGGCTGGGGACACAGCTCAGTTGCATAAGCACTTGCCTGGCAAGCACAAGGTTCTGAGTTTGATCCCTAGTATTAAAAAAGAGTAATGTGTTTAAAATCAGAGAATTTACAAAACTATTAATATTGACTTTCAAGAAAAAAAAAAAAACCTTTGCATCTATTCTGTATGATTTACCTGAGGCATTTCCAAGCCCAGATCCTGTGTGTCCAATTCCAAACTTCTTTTATTTCTTGTTTGTAAATTCCTTTCCAGCTTTACTTTAATTCCAAGATGATTTTCACAGTAAAGAGCAGGTTTCCCCAGAATCCTTCAATTTAACTGATTAGATCACTGCTTTTTTTCTTTTTAATTATTCTGTGCAATTCTGTCAAACAACACAGAGTAACTTCACTATGTGTCACTGAAAACAAGTTAACCTTTTAAAAACAAGAACAAAGAATACTTTAAACAGTAAGTCTTATAGGTTACATTTTCAAAAATGTAGTCATGTCTTGATACCAATTATTGTGAGATTCACCATTTTTCATTTGTTTGCATATAAAACAGGATTGGTCAATAATAACTAGTTGGTAACATTTTTCAAAACCACCCTGACCAAATGACCAAATGGCATATCTTCATCTTTCCTGTGATCTGAAACATACAGTTAATCATTTACTTTATGTTTCTTATGAGGAAATATCTCAATATTAATTCCATCTATTGTATACTTATTACTGCTAAATTAAAATTATATTTTATTAACTCTATAAAATAGTAATACCTAATATACTAAAATTTAATATATCCTCTACACTAAATAAAATCATACTTCTAAATTAGTACTTTGCCCAATATCATCAACCCAGAAATGTTAGAAATCCAAAAATCTTGTATGTCAATCCTACTACTATAACAGAAACCTTAAGAATGTGTCTCAGCAAACTGATTTTATAAGCCTCCAGGCAATCCTGATCCTTCCCTAAAGTTTTGAGGACTGCTGCCCAAACCTTCCTCTTATGCAGTAAAGTGTCATTTTCTCAAATGTAGAGTTCATTTAAATGTGCTTCCCGTAGTTCTCACATTCTCTGAGCTAAAGTGGTAGGTAAATACAATTTCAAAGAACTCTTGCTAAATAAATAAAAGACTAAGTAACTGTTCTATTTAATCAAATTAATAAATGGACTACAATTTGTATTTCCTGGCTTCTCATTTACAGTAAGCTCCCATTCTCAGAAAACTGAGCAGGCCTAAAAAACAGTACCTAGTGTTGAGGTTGGCCCCAGAAACAATAAAACAATTTAAGCAGATTGATCTCAGCATCCATCAAAGGCAAGTTCTTGCTCAGAAGACTGCATGCCTTGGTCCTGCTTCTGAAATGCAGTCACAGGCCTAACTCTTCTCTTGATTCTAGTGAGAAGATCGGTAATCTTTTCAAGACTTATTACCTAGACCCCAAGAAGGCATTTAATTCAAGTCACATATTTGACAAAGTGCAATCTTGACTTATACATCTTTTTCCCCCCATAATTTTATTGATAAACAAATAGCAATAAGACAGTTTCAAATCAAATTGGTAGGACAATTTCAATAATTAACACATTGCATACATTCCTCCCAGTGGTTAATTGCTGTACAAGATGCGGACATGATATCCTATTTACAAACATCATTAGAACAAATCACTCTATTCATTAAGAAAATGTAACTATATATCTATCCTAACCACTTTGAATACAGATACAAAATGGACATTCATCTGTATACCCTTTTTTTGTTAAGTTCCGTTATTTGAATATTATAGGTGTGTAAACTCAGCAAAGTAATCTAAAAGAGTTCAGTTGTCCATAATAGCATTGGGTCTTCTGCTTCACTGGCAATGTCAGACATTGTTGACTTGAGTCCCCTACAGCCCAACATATATTTTGTTTTTATACTTTTCTGCTGGATGGTTAAGACCAATCAGGACCTATGCAACAAGAGTTGTAACTTTTGATTCTGATAAGTTCAGTGAAATCCCCTCAGGATTTATCCTGAGATCCTGTACCTCAGATTGTAGAACCTTTGTCAGTGTCAGCCATGTGGATGAGTCACGGCCATTGCTTGGCCAATGTGCTCTCTGTGAAAGCCTGAGAGAATGTTTTCTCTCCATGTGACTCTCCTTAGGTACACTCTACATCATTGATCACTTTCCTCTTTGGCCCCATAATCTCCTTGATCAGAAAATTTGGGACACTACCGAGTCACATGATGTAACAGTACAAGTTCTCATATGTTCTGAGTCTTACTTGACCTTGGAAGGCTAGGGCCAAAATGTTGGCTTTCCTTGCAGCCCTTCTTTTTCTCTAATTTGGTCTGCAAACTTAGATTGTTAAACATCCAGAAGACAAGCTTATTGTTATTACCATACAACTTAGGCTGTTAAGCTTAGCCTCACTATCTGTCTGCATATCAAACATCTTAGGCATAATATGGGACAGGTATTTTTCATTAAGTATTGATATGTTGAACTTTTAAGTCCCTACAGAATATGATAAAAAAAATTTAAAATTTAGAATGTATTTTAAAAATAGGCATAAAGAATTATATACTTCTTATGTTTACACTTAAGTCCAAAAATCTCACCATATACAACCTTGAAGCAGGACAGTCCCACAATATTCATTTTCCTGTCTCTTGCTTTCATTCACCACCCCCTTCTTTTTGAACAGACTTATATATCTTTAGGAGAAAGGTCTGATATCCTTTAAAAACTGAAAGGAGACTGAGGCAGGAGGATTGAGACCAGCCTGGGCTATATAATGAGTTCAAGGCTAGCCTGAATTATATAGTAAAATTTTGTCTTTAAAAAATTAAAAATAAAAACTGAAAATTTATCTTTGTCAGCAACAGTATTATGGGCTCAAACCAGCCTCCATTCTATTCAACATGTACTTACTAGTATCTACCAGAGATAACTATCTGCCAGCAGCTTAGTTCATCAGGGAAACAATGAATTTAAATAGCTTTCACTTGCAAACTATACAACATTGAGTAAGAATCTTTCTAAACTTCATTTATCTAATCTTTAGAGAAGTTGGGAATCATGACAAAACCTGTAACCTTTGGGAGGCTAAGGAGGATAACTGAAAATTTGAGGCCACCCTGAACTACACAGTGAGATTTTCTCTAAAAGAAAAAAAAATAAAAAACACAAAAATAAAGCAAAACAAAACATGCAGGAAAGGGTAAAGAGATAAGGGAGAGCAGAAGTGATCAAATACATTGTCTGCATATATGAACCTGCCAAAATGAAACAATAAAAAATTAACAAATAATTTGAAATATATAATTAAACACTAGCTGGAAAAACAAAAAAGATTCTCTTGTGACTAGAGTTAAATCATGAAACATATCCAAACATTTCTTTGAAATGTTATTTTAAAACATCAAAACAAACATCATTTAATGTAGTTAGCAAAACAAAAACAAACACAACCACTTTTTTGGGAGATAAGAGATCTGATTCCAGTTTTGACTTCATAATTAAAACTAAAAAGCTTCATGAATCAAAGCAAATTACTGAAGTTTATGCCTTAGCTCCTAGATCTGAGATCTAAGTAATTATCTTAACTCTGTAATACGGATGCTATGAGAAATTTTTTTTTTTTTTTTTTTTTTTTTCGGAACTGGGGATTGAACTCAGTCCCTTGCACTTGCCAGGGAAGCGCTTATTTCACTGAGCCATCTCCCCAGCCCTGCTATGAGAATTTATGAGATTACTAGGAAGTAATAATAAAATATGAAAAAGTGGTTATCAACAAGTGTATTTTGCCAATGCCTTATTTATTCCATACATAGTCCAGCTCAGAAACTCAACATCTGTGATAGTTTTTAATAGCAAGGCTAAACGTTTTAAAAGGTGTTGCTTCCCCAAACATGGTATACACTAAGTAAACGGTTGGTTTGTTCACTTGGGTACTGAAGGTCCTAAAAGTTGCTTCTTTTAAAGTCTCTCAAATAGGACTGGGGGAAGACCAATTCTACTCCAAGTAATGGGACCATTTTCAGTAATAAAAACTCTCTCAAGTCTCTAAAATTAATGATCCCAGTTCACCACAAATAATCCTTATCCTCAACAGCTTTCACCCATTTCCCAGAAATGCTGAATATTGTTCCAAATATTTATTGTGAAATAACAACAAAATTTCCATCCAAAAAGAGTAAAAATAAAATAAAAGCTTTGGTAGCAATTACTACTACACAGCATCTTCTATACTGATACACTGCTGCAAAGCTATTATGTACCTGGGAGCCATATATAAAAAGGACTTAAATGCTTAGGTGACAGAACAGCAGAGAAAACTGTAACAGCTTGCTTTTCAGGACGACTTCACACTTTTTCAGGCTTACGAATATACATATTTTACTTCAAGCCATCATATTAAAATTCAACAACAATGTTTTGTGTTGGTGCAAATCTGTAATCCCAGCTGGCAGGAAGCTGAAGCAGGAAAATTTTAAGGTCAAAGCTAGGCTGGACTTGAATTTAGCAAGACTCAGCCTCAAAACGGAAAGGGAAAATACCTGTTCCATATTATGCCTAAGATGTTTTATATGCAGACAGATAGTGAGGTTAAGCTTAACAGCCTAAGTTGTATGGTAATAACAATAAGCTTGTCTTCTGTTTGTTTGCTTGCTTTTGTGGAACTGGGGATTGAACTCAGGTCCTTGTGCTTGCCAGGGAAGTGCTTATTCCACTGAGCCATTTCCCCAGCCCAAGCTTGTCTTCTGGATGGTTAACAACCTAAGTTTGCAGACCAAAATTAGAGAAAAAGGAGGGCTGCAAGGAAAGCCAACTTTTTGGCCCTAGCCTTCTACGGTCAATTAAGACTCAGGACATATGAGAACTTGTACTGTAACATCATGTAACTCAGTAGTGTCCCAAATTTTCTGATCAAGGAGATTATGGGGCCAAAGAGGAACGTGATCGATGATGTACAGTGTGCCTAAGGAGAGTCACATGGAGAGAAAACATTCTCTCAGGCTTTCACAGAGAGCACATTGAACACGACTCATCCACATGGCTGACACTGACAAAGGTTCTACAATCTGAGGTACAGGATCTCAGGATAAATCCTGATAGGATATCACTGACCTTATCAGACCCAAAAGCTACAACTTTTGTTGCATAAGTCCTGCTTTACCTTGGTCTTAACCATCCAGCAGAAAAGTATAAAAACGAAATATAAGAAGTAAAGCCATGCTGTTATGTTGAGCTGTAGGGGACTCAGGTCAACAATTTCTGACATGGCCCATCAAGCGGAAGACCCAATACTATTATGGGATACTGGACTCTTTGAGAATATTTTGCTGAGTTTACACACCTATAATATTCAAATAACG